TAAAATATTTTGAACTCAAATATTTTAATCAAATATTTAAATTGCCTTTATATTTTCTTTCCAAAATTTCATCTAGCAACAAATATAGATTTTCCAAGAAGCAATAAATGCCAAAAAATACCACTTATGTCTTTGTTACACTTTATATTAAACGAACCCTAAACAGAACACCTGAAAAATGACATAAAAAATCATTTAACACCTTGATTGACAGTTTGGGCTGAATAGTAAGTTTCATCTTACTATCATAATTAGTGTTTGGTAAATTTGTTGTTGTTGTTGTTATGTGCCATCGAGTCGGCCCCGACTCATAGCAACCCCTCCTTGGGTTTCCGAGGCAGTATCACTACGGAAGTAGGATCGCCCAACCTTCCTTCCCAGGAGTGGCTGGTGGGTTTGAACCGCCAGCCGTCTGGTTAGCAGGCAAGTGTCTTAGCCACTATGCTACCAGAGCTCCCTTGGTAAATTTAGAAGTATAAAAGATATTGTAATGCCTTTTTTTGTGGTCCCTTCAAAGGAAAATGAGAAATATATGAATTAAAAAATATGAAACTAGTTTAGATTAAGCAAATTCCACTTAAAAAACCGGAAAAATAATCACTTCATTCTACTTATAAAAATTATCAGCCAGTAGCAACTGGGCTCTTAAAAACTTGCAAGCTGCCATCTAGATGCAACGATGGGTCTCTCCTTGTCCAGAGCAAAGAAGAATGAAGAAAACCAAAGATACACGGAAACAATTAGTCCAAGCAACTGGTACACCATGCAATCTTCAGCCTATATGACTATGAGATCAAAAGAACTAGATGGTGCCCAGCTACCACTGTCAACCACTCAGAGGGGGATCTATGTCAGAGATCCTGGATAGAGTAGGAGAACAATGTGGACGAAAACTCAAATCATAAAAAAAAAAAAAGGGGGGGACCAGGTTTGCTGGTCTGATAGAGCCTGGTAGAACCCAGAGACTTCGGCCTCTAGCTGCCCTTCAGGTCTGGAATTGAACCCACTCCTGTGGCTGCCAGCCAAACAAAAGATAGGCATATGAATTGAACATTTACATTAGGTAGATACACTCCTAGGGAGCTCTGGTGGCGTAGTGCCTAAGGCATTTGGCTGTTAACCAGAAGGCTGGTGGTTCTAACCCAACAGTCACTCCTCGGAAGGAAGGCTGGGCAATCTACTTCCGTAGTGATACTGCCTCGGAAACCCAAGGAGGGGTATGATCTGACTTGATGGCAGTGGGTTTAGATACACCCCTTGAAGAGATCAATCATGAGAGAACAGAAGTGTTGTGTATGCATGGGGAGATAGTGAGGGGGGTGGGGAGGAAGGCATGGGAGGGAAGGACACAAGGAAGAGCTAACTATGGGGAGGAAGTAGGAGCGGAGCTGTTGCATTGTGGGAGATTACAGTCAATGTTATGAGACAAAGTGTATGTGAGCTGCTGTATGGAAAATGAATTTACTCTGTAAACTTTCACCCAAATCACAACAAAAATTTAAAAAAATAAGAAAGAAATAACAAAAAAAAAAAATCATCAGCCACAACAAAGGCCAATACAATTAACAATGAGTTAATTCAAATGGTATTTTATCTACTAGTGCTATGAAGGGATGTTTCTTAAAACAAAACACTGCACAGTTAGCATGAGAAGAGAAATCGTTTCCGTGGTAGCAAGCTCCAAAGGGAAGCACAAGTGGGTACCCTGTATGTGTTTGGATTTTAAATTTTAGCCACTATAAAAAATACTGTGACCCAGATTTGAGAGCAGCTTATAGCTTCACATGTATTTAATTTTCTTTGGCTAAACACTTAAATGGGGTGGTGGGGGGAAAGGATTGAGACATAAAAGCATTCATCTGGAATTGACCTACACCTTATGATTTTATAATAGTGCTCTGGTAGCACAGTGCCTAAGGCATCTGACTGCTAACCAGGAGGTTAGTGGTTCAAACTCACCAGCCACTCTGCAGAAGCAAGACTGGGCAATTTCCTTTTGTAAAGATTTACCACCTCGGAAACTCAATGGGGGTCGCTATGAGTCAGAATTGACTCGATGGCAGTGGGTTTGGTTTGGTTTTAGGACTTTAAAAATGGCATCAGTTAAATCAAGCTGCTCAAATCTCAGGGATATCTTTCCTGGGTTATGCAAAAAATTGAAAATTGTTAATATGGCTAGGAGTTTGGCAACAACTGCATTATCAGAGCTGGTTCCCACAATTTGGTTCTACCTAAAAAGGGCAAGTTTTCCTGCCACTGCTTATGTTCCAAGCTCTAGAAGGACACTGTTAATGTGATTCCGAAGATAGTTTTAACTTATCACAAAAGGACCGAAGGAAAATATTTATCTGTGAAGAGAGAAGAAACATTCTTATTCATGACCAACAATGAGCTTCATGCTATCGATATATATACTTCTCTGCCCAAAAGAGATTACTTTTTCTTGAATAAACAATTTTTTATCCACTATAATGACCAATTCAAATGATCTTTGAATTTCTAAGATTCTTAAAGAATTGCCGTAGGGTAATCTGCTAAATCTGTCATACAGAAACAAAATTAAGTGGTGAGTTGAAATGTTAATCAATTCTACTCTTTTCTCAGGATGCCTATGAAGGAATGAGAAACCCAGAACTGTTTGTGATGGTACCCTGGAACAGAATTTTTGAATTAAGGAAGGAGTATCTCAGACGTGAGCTACAGAGTTCCTCTCTGATTCACCTTGTTGACTCAAAAACATACCATGTACCAAACTGTAATTCTCTAGATAGTCTCATAAATAACAATATGCACAGGGTTTCCAGCATTTTCTGGAAGCTGACTTGATTTTAAGAAGGAAAGCAGAATTCCTTTTTCCCTCTTTCTTCCCTCATCTTCTTCCTCTCCCTTCCTTCCTTGAGTTATTGAGGAATTGATAAATAACAGGTACTGTGTGAGGCACTGGGGAGTTAGTGATCCCTGACCCTCAAAGAGCCTGATGTCTACTGGTGAAGTGATAATACACTAACAGATCATTGCAATGCACTGTGATTACATGCATGGAGAGAGAGGGTGACCTGTGAACCACAGACGCCACATTAGGGTTTCACATGTAGGCAGAATGGAGCCACTGAAGAGAGTTGCATGTTCTGGCAATGGTATGTTGTTGTTGTTGTTGTTGTTATTTGCCGT